AAGTCACTGTCATATAGGTTTACTTCAGAAGATTAACTGTATAAAAAAAGTCACTGTCCTATAGTTTTACTTCAGATGATTAACTGTATAAAAAAGTCACTGTCATATAGGTTTACTTCAGAAGATTAACTGTATAAAAAAAGTCATTGTCCTATGGTTTTTACTTCAGATGATTAACTGTATAAAAAAGTCACTGTCGTATAGTTTTACTTCAAAAGATTAACTGTATAAAAAGTCACTGTCATATAGTTTTACTTCAGAAGATTAACTGTATAAAAAAGTCACTGTCATATAGTTTTACTTCAGAAAATTAACTGTATAAAAAAAGTCACTGTCATATAGTTTTACTTCAGATGATTAACTGTATAAAAAGTCACTGTCATATAGTTTTACTTCAGAAGATTAACTGTATAAAAAAAGTCACTGTCATATAGTTTTACTTCAGATGATTAACTGTATAAAAAAAGTCATTGTCGTATAGGTTTACTTCAGAATATTAACTATAAAAAAGTCAATCATATAGTTTTACTTCAGAAGATTAACTATAAAAAAGTCACTGTCATATATAGTTTTACTTCAGAAGATTAACTGTATAAAAAAGTCAGTCATATATAGTTTTACTTCAGAAGATTAACTGTATAAAAAAGTCCCTGTCGTATAGTTTTACTTCAGAAGATTAACTATAAAAAAGTCACTGTCATATATAGTTTTACTTCAGAAGATTAACTGTATAAAAAAGTCAGTCATATATAGTTTTACTTCAGAAGATTAACTGTATAAAAAAGTCCCTGTCGTATAGTTTTACTTCAGAAGATTAACTGTATAAAAAAGTCTGTCATATATTGTTTTACTTCAGAAGATTAACTGTATAAAAAAGTCACTGTCGTATAGTTTTACTTCAGAAGATTAACTGTATAAAAAAGTTGCTATTATATAGTTTTACATCAGAAGATTAACTGTATAAAAAAAAGTCACTATTATATAGTGATACTTCAGAAGATTAACTGTATATAAAAAAGTCACTATTATATAGTTTCATTTTCAGTAACTCCTTGTAAAATAACACTTCTTCAGAAGATTATCTTTATAGAAAAGACACTATCGTATTGTTTCACTTTCAGTAACTTCTTGTGTTCTAAATCTTCCTCAGAAGATTAATTGTATATAGAAGTCACCTTTGTATAGTTTTACTTTCAGTAACACCTTGGATGGTAAATGTTCTTCAGAAGATTAACTGCATAGAGAAGGCTGTTTTTTCATGCTTATGGGAAAATATTTCAATGATTTTGCTTATGAATTGCATCTTTGATTGAAAAGAAAGTTCAGTTTATTTTCACGCAGTATTTGTAATTACGTAATAATAATAAGAAGAAGAGAATTCTATTCCTCAGTATTCCTATCATTATGTGTTCCTGAAGATGAATAATTTTGGTAATTATTGAACTCTATTCCGCAGTATTCCTATCAGTATGTGTTCCTGAAGATGAATAATTTTGGTAATTATTGAACTCTGTTCCTCAGTATTTCTCTCATTATGTGTTCCTGAAGATGAATAATTTTGGTAATTATTGAACTCTATTCTGCGGAACACATAATGAGAGGAATACTGAGGAACAGAGTTCAATAATTACCAAAATTATTCATCTTCAGGAACACATAATGAGAGGAGAGTTCAATAATTACCAAAATTATTCATCTTCAATTCCGCAGTATTATTTGGCTATGTGTTCTTAATTGTTATTAATATCAATAATAAGAGAACTGTATTACTCACTTTTCTTGGTATTTATAAAAGGTGTTAATTTGAAAACATCTAATTAATCTGAGTATGATCATTATTTTGTTGTAAAATCAGACTGGGACTATCTTAGATGTGCTAGTTATTAATGGTACAGGAATGCTTGGAATTAAAGACATCATACCTTAATTGTAACTACAAAACAGCTGAGTAAACGTTTCATAAGACAAACCCACTACAGTTATTTTGGATTGGCAGCAGTAAAATATCCACAATGCTAATTAACTTTTAAATGAAATGTAAGTAACCTTTATGGAAATGAAAAATCTCTGTGGTCATAGGTTTATTAGTCACTAGAAAACCTGGGAAAAATAGAATTAGACCATTGAGTAAATCACTTACTGAATGGAACATTAGACCCAAACACAATACAACTCTTATGTGTTGAGAAATATCCACTACATTGTGTTTCAGTGTGTAAAGCTAGTAGTAGGTGTTAGCTATTTGATCCAACTTGATGTGAAGGGTGTTTCTCCATGACAGAACAATGGGAAAACTTCCAATAGAAATCTTTAAGCATGAACCTTGTATTGGTTAAGTTCTTTTCTTTCATGTCTAACTTGTTTAGTGTATATGTGAGAATATGGTCACTTAGAGATACAGAAGTTTGTATAGTTTGAGATTGTTTGTATGGATCATTTGTTGAAAGAATATCTTTTCTTTACAGAATCCTGAAGAAGTCTTTATTGAATCTCCTCCACCTGTAAGTTAGTATTCTGTCACCTTTATTAATTTTTTAAAGTTTTCCATGTATAAAAACCATGAATGTGTTCTAATGTATTTGATAAGTGTCAGAACACTCATGGTATTTTAAAAGTTCTGCTTTGAAATAGAGAATAATCATATCAGCCTAAACTAAAATAAGTGGAGCTTTGAGTATAACCACTTAAGAAATCTTAAAAATACATTGATGTATGCTTAATGTTTAATTTAAGAGTAAAAACGAATACAGTAGAACCTCAAAATTAAGGGCACCCTTTCTACTGCGTCCAAATGCACTCTATAGCAAGGTGCCCTTAATGTCAAAAATGAGCCACACAAAGCTGGATTTCATATTCACATTACTAAATTTTGCTTACTGTATGTAGGATGCAGGTGTTCGTGAGCTGTACGTTGCCATGATATGTAGCATTGTCAACAGGAGGTCTCAGGTTATTGATTAGCTGTGCCATTTTTTCTTTATTATTGGTCACAAAGTTTCAAAATACTTCTTTTTGCTAAACATTTCATATTTATTTTCTGTGCTTATTTTACTGTGAAGGACTGAAGTAGAAATCTGCTGAAAATAAAGCAACAAAACACCACTTGTGACATTAGACTGTTTACATGACACCGTAATACGATACTCTCAAGAGCAACAAAGCACACATACAGAAATAAGCCAACTTGACCACTGCTTCGAGAACATCATATGGAATTTATCAGCTTATGTATCATACAGTGTGAATTCCCTCGAGTAATAAGATTGCATTTTGAATCTGTGAAAACATTTATTACAATATATGGTTTGTAGCTGATTCAATAAACATCGCAAGTGTTTGAATATTGGTCATCCTTCTGGAATGTTTGGAATTTAGCGGTATACTATACAGGCATACAAAGATAACTACTACCTGCTTTATCGAGTGCCCGTATAGAGAACAAGACTAAATACACTGCCCTTTATCGTGAATATCAAGGTGCCCATTATTGCAAGATTTTATTTTGGTTACAAATAGTAGAATAAAGAAAGAGACTGAAAATATCTGCCCTAAATTGCTATGTTTTTATTGTTTCAAGGTTCTACTGTAAGTAGTGTTTTTTTTTTTATCAAGAAGTTAAATGCCACTTTAGGTATTTTAGATTGATTGAAGTAAATTGTGATTATTATGGTAGAGTAGTTTTAATACGTGTAATATTTTAGTATCAAGGAAGGAAAGAATCACATAAAAATCACCAAATAACCTGATTGTTTTTGGAAGGTAGATCTTACACTTATTACTCTTTTTCACCCCTAAAAAAGTGCTCAGTTCATTATGTTTTTGTGGTTAATATTTATTGTTAATTGACTAATAATATTTTTTATTCTAGAAACAAGTTGTAAGGAAGCTTGCCGGTAGCATTTTTTTCGGTTTATTTCTAATCTTTGTGGTTCCTTTCTTCCCAGTAAATTATTTGAAAGGTATGTATCTACAGACTTTTACTTTAGTTTAAACGGGTGGTGGCCTATGTGTTATAATTAGGTGTTTTAAAGCAATATTCAGTTCGATTGAAATATGGTATAAAAAGTATATTTTTAGCATCAACAATCAACGAAAATGTTATGCAGATTGTATGTATATTTCATTTTCATTCTTACTTCTTAGTAGTAATGCTGAAACATATTGTGTCGTTGTTCAGGGTAATATTAGTAACATAATGCTTGTGATGGTTTTTAAAGTTATCACCAAAGGCATTAATGTTTTATAGTTTATGTAAACAGTAGGAATACTAACAACTTTTGTTCAGATTGTTGACAAGTACTCCTCATGTGTTACTTCACTTTATTAACTGCACACCTACTGCCGTTACTTCAGATTTTTAACTGCACACCTACTGCTGTTACTTCACATTATTAACTACACACCTACTGCCATTACTTCACATTATTAACTGCACACCTACTGCCGTTACCTCACATTATTAACTGCACACCTACTGCCGTTACCTCACATTATTAACTACACACCTACTGCCATTACTTCACTTTATTAACTGCACACCTACTGTCGTTACTTCACTTTATTAACTGCACACCTACTGCCGTTACTTCACATTATTA